GGTTGTCAAATATCTCCCTTCCGCTTTTTTGCTCTTGGTTTATAATACAAAAAGGCGGAAGGGAGATATTTGACAACCTATGTATATATATATATATATATATATATATATATTTATAAACAAATTAAAATCATTTAAACACACAAATCCATAAAAATATCTTTTTTAATCCATAATATATATATAATATTCATATAAATAACTTAACATTCATTCTTTGCAATAATTACATCGTTTGTTTTTTTTTATAAATATAAATATAAACATAAATTCGACAAACAAAATTAACATTCGTTATTAATAACAACAAAAAAGAAAATTTTAAACGTGGGACGTACACAAACATTTATTAATATAAACAAATTAAATTATTATTTTTTGAACGATTTTTTAATCCTTAAAAAGGACTTTTTTTAGCAATCCACAGGATGAAAGCAATCCTCAAAGGCAAATCCCGGAAAACTTAAAAAGAAAATAGAAAAGGGACTTTAATATGTTAAAATAGAAGTTTTGTGAATTTTTCAAAATCGGTTTTCGAGTATACCGAGTTGCTTTTGTGAAGGATTTAACACATATTAGCCCAGTATCAAATTTGTAATAAAAACTACTGTGTTAAAATTTATTTGTACATCTCCAATTTTTTTGTAACAAATTATTTAATAACTTTTTTTTTCAAAAATATTGTTGGACAATGTTTAGTATATTCAAAAATTTTGTACAAAATTAAATAATAAACATTTTGAACAAATAGAAGATGAATTAATAATTTAGAAGATGAAAATTATTTTCCGAAAAAATGTATCTAGGATACATTTTTAATACATTGCCAAAGCCATTTTAGGGTTAAAAAACGAGTGTCAAAAATGTTTCAATTACAATTTCTATACTATTAATAGTACAGTGGGCTAATATGGTTAAAACGCGAATGTCAAAAATATTTCAATTAAATTTTTTTTACTATCGTTAGTACGGGCGCTAATAAGGTTAAAAACGAGTGCCAAAATCATTTTGCATCAAATCGTCAATTTTTGTGTCATGTTAAGTTATAAATTTGAAATCTTATATCGAACTTGTGTTATGAATCTAATTTCTTCTCATCACTAATTTAAAAATTAAATAGTCCTTTTAAGAACTTATTTTTTTGTTGATAAAACTTAAAACTAAATTTTCATTCATTAATGCTTATGTACAAAATAAAATATTATAAAAAATAGCCGCAACGACTATAAATATATATATATATATATATATATATATATATATATATATATATATATATATATATATAATGTAGATGTTTCTTTTTTTTGTAAAATTTTGTATAAAACTTGATTAATTAATTAATATATATAAAATAATATAATAAAATGTCAAACTTAGAGACTAAATCTAAAAAATGTTAAAATTTTTAAAATATGTACAGATATATGCTCACAAAACGAGTTAAAAATTAATAAACGTATAAAGAAGAATTTGTACCCAAGTATATATATATATATATATATATATATATATATAAATTTATTTTTATGTATATTTTCGTTAACAAAAAAGCCAACACGTCGATTTGAAATTAATTGAATTAAATATTAAATTAAGATTTTTAAGTCTGATTTATCTGTAAATATTTAACCACATTTATGAACCCTTTTTTTTAATTTTATTAATATTAAATGTTTTAGAAAATATCCATATTGAGGACCACCCTGATATATATATATATATATATATATATATGCATATATATATATATATATACATATATATATATATATATATATATATATATATATATAATTATTTATATTTTTGGTACAAATTCTCCATATTCCCTAAAATTTTAAAACCATCTTAGGCCTAATTAAAACTAATCATAATTAAAATTATATAAGACTTAAAGCTTTACGACAATATATATATTTATATATACAATTTCTCATTCAACGTTCGAGAACGAAAAAGAAAATCAATTTCTCTTATTATTATAAAATCTTATAAATAAAAAAAGATGATTAAAACATATATAAAACACATAAGATATAAAAATTATTTCGCTATAAATATATTATCGCAGATTGCAAAACCGGGACTTGAGAAAAGAAAATCTAAAAATTTATGAGATAAAAAAATTAATTTTGTTGAGTCTAAAAAAAGTTGCCAATTGTCCGATAAAATAGAAATGATATGTTGGTTGGTAGTAACTTAATAAAATAAAATGTTTAAATTTAAATTTTTTACTGTAATTATTTCAAACAGAAATAGTCCTATTTATCATATTTTAGTACAATTAATTTTTTAAATTTTCAGTAATTTTTGTTTATACCATTTTCAAAATTGTATCTTTGTCTCTCTCGCTCACCCAAAAAGGAAACGAGTGCGAGAGGGACAGCAATATAAAGGTCCGCCATTTCATTTTTGGCAGCCATTTGAATGAAATTATTTTCCATTATTAACCGAAAGCATTTTACTTTCAAATTTAAAAAAAAAATAGAAAAGCTACAGTAGTTTTTGTTAATAGCATTTTCAAAAAAAAAAAATGGTTGCAAATTTAGTGGCCAATTGTCCGGTAAAATAGAAATAGAAGTGTTATGTTAGTTGGTAGTAACTTGCTGTGCGATCAGGTGTTTTTTTAATAAAATAGAATGTTCAAATTAAAATTGTGTACTGTAATTATTTCAAACAGAGATAGTCCTATTTATTATATTTTAGCACACTTAATTTTTTAAATTTTCAGTAGTTTTTCTTTATACCTTTTCTACATACATTTTCAAATAACTGTATCTTTGTCTCTCTCGCTCACCCGAAAAAGAAAAGAGTGCGAGAGGGACAGCAATATAAAGGTCCGCCATTTAATTTATGGCAGCCATTTAGAATTTTTTGGCAGCCATTTGCTTGAAATTATTTTCCCTTATAAACCAGAAGCATTTTACTTTCAAATAAAAATAAATGAGAAAAGCTACAGTAGTTTTTGTTTATAGCATTTTCAAAAAAAAATATATATATAAATAAAAACTAAAACTATTACCCAATATTTTGATAAATATGTGCATAGCATTTTCTCAACATTTTTTAATTCATTTCTACAACTTCTGTATCGATTCGCATTCAAATTTCCACCAACAACAAAAATATAAAAAGAACATTTTATATAAAATTCAATCTCTGGATTTTTCTTGCAAGACTCAACAAAAATCATTTTTCCCAATATATCGAAAAGTTTAATCATAATTAATATTTTGCAGTACTTGTAAAAATTATAAAAATCATTATCGAACACTAACTTGCAAATATAAACACATTCACACCTTACCGAATACAAATGAACACACCATAATATATATATATATATATATATATATATATATATATATACTTAAAATTACTATCTATATTTTTTTTAGTATAACCCCATTTTCATTTTTGTATGTGATATTCGTAAACCTTTTTCATAAAAAAATACGAATTACATAAACATCGATATATTTTACAAAAAATTTATCGATGTTTATAAATTTTGTAAATTATTTTCAGCAAAAAGGTCAAAAATAATATCTCCGTTTTTTGAATGTGTAAGTGTAAAAATACGAATTACATTAACATCGATATATTTTCCAAAAAATTTATCGATGTTTATAAATTTTGTAAATTATTTTCAGCAAAAAGGTCAAAAATAATGTCTCCGTTTTTTGAATGTGTAAGTGTATAATACGAATTACATTAACATCGATATATTTTCCAAAAAATTCATCGATGTTTATGAATTTTGTAAATTATTTTCAGCAAAAAGGTCAAAAATAATGTCTCCGTTTTTTGAATGTGTAAGTGTAAAAATACGAATTAGAATTACATTAACATCGATATATTTTCCAAAAAATTCATCGATGTTTATAAATTTTGTAAATTATTTTCAGCAAAAAGGTCAAAAATAATGTCTCCGTTTTTTGAATGTGTAAGTGTAAAAATACGAATTACATAAACATCGATATATTTTCCAAAAAATTCATCGATGTTTATAAATTTTGTAAATTATTTTCAGCAAAAAGGTCAAAAATAATGTCTCCGTTTGTAAATGTGTAAGTGTATGTGTTTGGATCGAAGTGGTTCTATGAATTTATAAAAAAAATTAAAAAAAAAATAAAATCAAAAGACGTTTTGCAGAAGGTTATTACATTCAACTAAATAAAAAATGAATGTCATTTGAAAGTAGAAGAGTTATAATAAATAAATGCACAAAAAAATTGTTGCTGTAGCAAATCACTGTTGAATTGTCGAAATTTTTTGAATCAACTCCATTTATTTTGTGAGTTTCTAAAAAAAATGTCTCTGCAGGCTGTATTTATTTTAGTTTTTAAAATTATTGTAAATCCATACGTAATTGAAAACACAAAAAACAGATTGAATAAAAAAAACTTTAAATAACGTTCATATTAGTGAAAAAGAATAAAAAATATGTAATTAAAAAAATTAATTAATATTAATAATTCTCATATAATTATAATGTATTTTCTCATAGCCCTCAGTTTTATATTAAATAAAATGTTTGTTTTTAATTAAATACTCTTCATTTCTTTTCCGCGTTACACAAGTTTTTTATTCAAAATGCTTTCATTGTGAGACTCGAAACGTATTTACCTTATTTTCACGAAAAAATCAAATCAATTCAGAAATAAATTTTAGAGAAATTTAGAGAGGAAAGAACGTTTTTTAAATAACTCCAAAATTTCACGAAACCACTTCTTAAAAAAATGCAACAAAAAATAATTCGTTTGCTAAAAATTAGTAGAATAAATTAGAAGACTGATAGAAGTCTATTATATATTAGGTTGTCAAATATCTCCCTTCCGCCTTTTTGTATTATAAACCAAGAGCAAAAAAGCGGAAGGGAGATATTTGACAACCTAATATATTAATAAACAACTGGAATTATTCATTTAAATTCAAAAACCAAGTGCAGTCAATATGCCCAAAGTATAAAACTTACTCATAATCATAATAGTGCCATTTCGACGCGACCCAAATTTTTCACCTTCCCATTGAAAATCTTTTATCATTATTATTACCTTAAGTAGTTTCTCTCAATCGTGTGTGTCAATGTACGTGTCTGTGTGTATGTAATTTTTTTTATAAATTTTATTTATTCGTTTTTGTGTATTTTTATTAATAATTTTTTTTTTGTTTTTAATTTGTTTGTCAGAGATTTATCACAGACTTACTGCATGTTGGCGACTCCTGCCGAAGACGCACCGCTAATTTGAGCCGAACTGCCCATCGTCGATGCGAATTCTTGATAACTGAACTGTAATAGAAAAAAATAAAAAAAAATAAATATATCTTAATAAATCGTTGTTTTATAAAGTGTTCTAGGTACAATATTAAGCTAGATATGAAAATGGGGTTTTATAGTGCTCAAAACAAGCTTTAAAATGAGTACTTCTGCGTGTAAAATGAGTGAGCTATCATGTAGATAAAAGACGCATACAATGTTTTTTTTTTTCATTTAAGTCAAATAGTTTATGAGTGCCATTTCCACCAAAATTAGAAATTATAAATTAATTAAGAGATCTTGATGGATTCTGGAAAATACCACAACTTTAGTACAAACGATTTTCAAAAAAAACTCATGATTTTATGAAATAAAAATCCATTTTAAAAAAACAACCAATTTCTCATTATTATATCTCTGAAAGAATAAAAGATACGTATAAAGGTATATAAATGAAAATTCAAAGTCTTTTGCTGAATAATTATTGCTTTTTACTATTTTTTTTGTTACACAAATGTTGATAGAGTTATGATTGTATAAAGAGTGCAAGGCAGTAAACCAGAGTGTCTTTCAAGCCCTTTAACCCTCCGCCGCTTCAAAATAAGAGAAGTTAGGGTAAAATTTATGATAGAGAAAGTTGTATGTCATTTAATTACCTTTAAAATAATGTATTACAAGTTCTGATAAAATCAGAATTAAAAGAGTTATAATCCAATTAATGCCGGTGGTGGTGACGGAGTGCAAATTGTTTTCACTTCTGAACTTAAGATTAAGATTAACCTATTTCCAAAATATCAAGCAAATTGGAGCACAGTAAAAAAATTACAGAGCACACGCTTTTTTCCTCTCCATTTACTGCAATAACTTTGTTGATCGTAGGTTGAATAGAGCACATGTGAACAGGATTTGACAAATTAATTCACTTCAAATATGAATTTAAGTATCAATGTATATTGAATTATTAGTGAGAAAAATGTAATTTAGTTATTAAAATTACTAAAAGCCAGTTAAAATATGCTACGAAATTATAAAAATTATAGGCAACATTATTGAAGCAATTATTTTAAGTGAAAAAATCCAAGGTGACAAAGCAGATACTAAATATTAATTCTTTCTGAATTTGTTATACCTTTTAAAAGACTTCAACTTCCAATACGTATATCTTATGCTATAAATCACAAAGGCAGACGATGATTTTTGTGTGATAAATTTGAAAAATCAATGTTTTAGTCGTGAATAAACAAAAAATCATTCATTTATACATCCACATCTACAGGTATGACTAAAAATATTGTATAACCCTTGGCATTAAAATAAATTGAGCTATTGGAAATAAATTTGTTCTATAAATTGCAGTGTATAATTTTTAATATACAATTTTATTGAACAATAAAGTATTTTTTAAAGGGATAATGTTTAACTGTGGGAATTGAGAATCATAATTTTATTTGAAGCAGTTCTACATTTAACATCACTCATATATTGGTGTAAATAGTAATTCGAAAAACAATAATTATTATTTTTAACTGAACGGTAAATATTAGTATAGGATATTAAAAAAATGTAGATGCGGGTACAGGACAACCTCTGTCGGGTCATCTAGTATATATATAATTATAATAATATAGTTTGAATTGACATATGATTAAGTTAGAAAAATACAATTTAAATAAAATAAAATTTTATTTAAATTGCATAGTGTGCTACACGCTTTAGCCTAAGGCCGTATCAACACTTGACATTTTGTATATAACCGTTGATTATGACTTTACATGGCGTCTGTAGAGTGTGATGCCGGCTTTAGCGGTGTAAAGCTTGTTTTACACTTGATTTTTATTATTAATTTTTTTTATTAAATTACAACTTTTTAAAAAAAATGAAATTGAGTAAGTAAATATTTGAAACACTAGTGGTGTAGACGTTGTGCCATAATAAAATTCGAGGAATATTAAATGATTTAAAATAGATTATTCTAAACGTTGTTCATTATTCATATTTTATAGACAAAATATAAAAGTTTACAAATTGGATGTCGAGGTTTATATATGTTTACATAAAAAGTAAATAAACAAAACCTAATTAAGCAATTAGGCAATTATAATTATATGTTCTTATCTAATGTTTCTAAGAAATCTATAAACTGATTTGCAAAGTTAATATTTATTTCAAGTAAATACGTGAAAACTTTAGAATTTCAGTTAGAATTGGAATTATATTCTAAACCATTTCCGGTATTTTCAGAAAAATCCTTCAAACTAACTTATCTTATTAGTATTTTTTAATATTCCTTAATCTTATTATGATTATTATGAAAACTTTATATATTAGATTTTTCTAGAATTTTTTTTAACATCTAGACAATATTTGCCGGGCCAGCTAGTGTATATATATATATATATATATATATATAAATTATAATTACCTGTTGAAAATAGGGTTCCTCCTGAATAGCCCCAAGGGGTCCCGGTTGTTCAGGAGGTGTCAGTTCCACACTCTCTCCCGTAAACTCAGAATCAAAGTACCTCGTATCAGTGTCTGAGGTCACTTGGGGCTTGAAGGGGGGCATAATCTATAAATAATTAAAATTAGAATTAATTTTAATACTTCCAATTTGGTATCCTGATGAATACTTCTAGTTCAAGTCATGATCAAGTATAAAAATATGGTGCTTTCTCTAACAAGGAAAACCTCTGGTTTATTTTTCTAGGATTTTGATAGTCTAACCCAGTGATTCCCAAAGTGGTCCATATGGACCCCCAGGGGTCCATGGCAACTTTCAAGGGGTCCACGGCGGCAAAAACAAAATTTGGGGGTCCACGAAATGAAAATGGGGGTCCACAGCAGTGGATTACAACACATCATGATAAAATCTATTTATATACGTTTAACGATAATATAATATATAGATTTACAATAAATCCTTTAATATAGTTGGCAATATTAGGAACTGATTCAAAAAGTAAAGAAAAACATTACATATTTATATAAAGTGTGTAAGTTGTAACATGTAGGCATTCGAGTTGTGGTTACACTACACGCTGGCTGTTGAAAAGCTTAATTTTGGTAAGATTTTTGCCCTTAGAATTTATAAATACCAAATGTAGAGGTTTAAATGGCAATTTAACGAAGTATGATATAGATACCACTTATTTGGATTCGATAAACAAAATTTTATTTGAATTTTAGTCCCTTCAGCAACGAATTTGGACTCAAGTGTTTTGAACTAAACTTTTAGATATTTAAATTCCACAGGTAATTTTGTGCTTTGGTGGACAGTAAATTACAGATGTAGTTTATTTCTGGATTGGTTATTGAAGAAAGTTGCTTTTATGAAATGTTTACTGACAAATGTTATAGATTTGGTAGTGCTTAATGATGCTGCTGATTATTATAGCAGTTCTACCGTCAGTTGTTCCTCGTGGATTAATGTTGTAACTGGTTGCATGGCATGGTGCCTTAAGGCAAATTGCTGAAACTTCCCGTACTGTGAATTAATTTTTTTTCAAAATATTTAAGTTTTATTGAAAACATTAAAAAAGAGATTTCTGAGAATTTCAAATTTCTGAAAAAATTTGACTTTTTTGAAAAATTTGATTTATTTTTTATATTTCGAAAATTTTTTATATGTACTTTTAATTTTTCTGAAAATTTTGAACTTTTTTTGAAAGCAATGTTAAAACAAGCAGAAAGTCTTTGAATCATTTAAATCAGACGCTTAGTTCTCTCAAAAACTGCTATTTTTTTTAACATTTAGCTATGTATCTCCGAAACCGCTGGGCCTACCTTTGCCTACCTTTGATTAATGTTGTAACTGGTTGCATGGCATCGTGCCTTAAGGCAAATTGCTGGAACTTCCCGTACCGTGAATTAAATTTTTTAAAAAATATTTAATTTTTTTTGAAAACATTAAAAAAGAGATTTCTGAGAATTTTAAAATTTCTGAAAAAATTTGACTTTTTTGAAAAATTTGATTTATTTTTTATATTTCGAAATTTTGTATATGTATAAAAATATAGTAGCGCGTAAGCACCGCATCCCAGTCTAACATTGATACGGAATCGAATACGGATCAACATTGATACGGAACCCACAGAAATGCCAACAAAATTCATACTTATTATTAAAACCTCTATAAAATAACTGATAATTTGATATGCATTTGTCTAATGATCATTTTTGATCGTCAAATGATATTTTTTTTTACTGTTTTCACTCGATCTCTGAAACCACTAGACCTGCCTTCGCATAAATTATTATACTATATATAAAAATGTTCATTTTCGATTTTTCTGCAATTAGTATAACTTACCCTACGGGGAATCAAAAATCAAATTTGCTTAATTTAAAAAAGTCTAAGTTAGTGAAGTGTATTTTCGAAAATAACATATGATCAATTTGATAATGTATTAAAAATAATTATAAAGCCGCTATTTATTACTTAAGTTTTGAAACTAATCTCATCGATATTTATCTCAGCAAAGTCCATTTTAAATTCATTTTGTTCCTCGATATCATAACATAGGGCGATCAGTTAATAGTATCATAAATAACAAATATATGTTACGCAGTTAAAAGATACCATTTAAAAATACAATAAAAAAATATTGTTCAAAAATATTTTTTTCAAATTACAATTGCAGACTTTTAGTAAGATTTTTAACTCGATTATATGTTACAATCATCTTTTACCATGCTTTTATATTATATCTTATATTTTTTAATCTATATGTTTTTTTCGCATTTGAGACTTCTATAAAACTCTGTTCAATTTTCTTTATGATTAACTTGAAAAAATTACATTTGGCTTGCTTGTTTTTTTTTGTTAATTTCATGAAATCAAATTCGCCTTTGGAATTTTGTATTCAGCAATTTTCTCATTCATAGCGTTTTACAAGAGAAAAAAAATACATCAATTCACATAATTAATTTGATAAGTAATTGTAATTTAATTTTAATTAAGAAAAAAGAAATTTTAATTAAGATTTAAACCTATACTTTTCAATAATTCGGGACAAATAATGATTTTGAAAAAACCCGGATCAAAAGATGGAAACCCGGAACTGTCCCGGATAAACCATAATATAGGGGGTCCATGACAAAACGAAAAATATCGCAAGGGGTCCACGGCACAAACAAGTTTGGGAACCTATGGTCTAACCAAACAGGATAAAAAATATAGGCCTAAGAAAAGTGATTCAATTATAAAAATTAATTAACTATCAATTCCAGAGTAACTCAGAGGTTCTCCTTGTAAGCAGCAAATAAACTAAAAATATCTATTATTTATAATTATTTATCATTTATCCTTTCTATTACTTGTTTCTGTTCGAGTTCAGTCCAATTGATGGAGCTGAAGAAAGGATGGGCCATAATGTCCCTGACATCGTTCTCTCCTCCGCCCAAACGAGCAGCAGGATTTTTGGCTAATAAACCTGACAGGACGCTCTTGGCCTCAGGCGAGATTGTCCTGGGAAATTTGACTTCTTCGACTAAGATTAAGGTGAACAGGACGTCGTGGTCTCTGTTGTAGAACGGTAACCTGCCGCACATCTGGATAAAGGATAAAGGATAAAAATATATATATATATATATATATATATATATATATATATATATATATAGTTGGATGAAGCAAGCATTTTAATAAATTTGTTTCAAAAATGACAAAATTCAGATAAAATTTATAAGATTTATTATTACTATTAAAAAATTGCACAAGGTTGTCACAAACTGCAAAATTTAGAATCTAGATGGAAATGAGATAATACAGCTAGAAATGACAAAATCAAGTTAAAAATAGCAAAAGCTTGTCAGAAATTGCAAAATTCAGTTAAAAATTGCAAGATATAATTAAAAATGGCAAAATCTACTTAGGTATTGCAGAATCCAGTTGGAAACGGCAAAATCCAGTTGGAAATGGCAAAATCTAGTAGGAAATTGAAAAATCAAGTTAGACATGACAAATCCTAACTAGAAAATAGCAAAAGCTGGTCAGAAATTGTAGAATTCAGTTGAAAAATTGCAAAATTCTGTTAAAAATTGCAAGATATAGTTAAAAATGACAAAATCTAGTTAGGAATTGCAGAATCCAGTTGGAAATGGCAAAATCCAGTTGGAAATTGAAAAATTAAGTTAAACATGGCAAATTCTAACTAGAAAATAGCAAAAGCTGGTAAGAAATTGCAGAATTCAGTTAAAAATTGCAAAATTCAGTTAAAAATTGCAAAATATGGTTAAAAATGGCGAAATCTAGTTAAGAATTGCAGAATCCAGTTGGAAACGACAAAATCCAGTTGGAAATGTCAAAATATAGTTGGAAGTTGAAAAATCAAGTTAAGCATGGCAAATCCCAACTAAAAATAGCAAAATCTGGTCAGAAAGTGCAGAATTCAGTTAAAAATTTCAAAATTTAGGGCGAAATCTAGTTAAGAATTGCAGAATCCAATTTGAATTGACAAAATGCAGTTAGAAATGTCAAAATCTAGTTGGAAATTGAAAAATCAAGTTAGACATGGCAAATTCTGACTAGAAAATAGCAAAAGCTTGTCAGAAATTGCAGAATTCAGTTGAAAATTTCAAAATTTAGTTAAAAATGACGAAATCTCGTTAAGACTTGCAGAATCCAGTTGGAAACTACAATATCCAGTTGGAAATTAAAAAATCAAGTTGGAAATTGAAAAAACAAATTAAATACAGCAAATCCTAACTAGAAAATAGCAAAAGCTGGTCAGAAATTGCAGAATTCACTTGAAAATTGCAAAATTCTATTAAAAATTGCAGGATATAGTTAAAAATGACAAAATCTAGTTAAGAATTGCAGAAATCAGTTGGAAATGTTAAAATCTAGTTGGAAATTGAAAAATCAAGTTAGACATGGCAAATTCTGACTAGAAAATAGCAAAAGCTTGTCAGAAATTGCAGAATTCAGTTAAAAATTTCAAAATTTAGTTAAACATTGCAAGGTATAGTTAAAAATGACAAAATCTAGTTAGGAATTGCAGAATCCAGTTGGAAACGGCAAAATCCAGTTAGAAATTAAAAAATCAAGTTAAACATGGCAAATCCTAACTAGAAAATAGCAAAATCTGGTCAGAAAGTGCAGAATTCAGTTAAAAATTTCAAAATTTAGTTAAAAATAACAAAATCTAGTTAAGAATTGCAGAATCCAGTTGGAAACAACAAAATCCAGTTGGAAATAGCAACACCTAGTTGGAAATCGAAAGTTTAAGTTAGACTTGACAAATTCCTAACTAGAAAATAGCAAAACCTGGTAAGAAATTGCAGAATTCACTTAAAAATTGCAAAATTCTGTTAAAAATTGCAAGATAGAATTAAAAATGACAAAATCTACTTAAGAATTGCAGAAATCAGTTGGAAATGTTAAAATCTAGTTGAGAATTGTAAAATCAAGTTGAACATGACAAATCCTAACTAGAAAATAGCAAAAGCTGGTAAGAAATTCCAGAATTCAGTTAAAAATTTCAAAATTTAATTAGAAATGACAAAATCTAGTTAAGAATTGCAGAATCTAGTTGGAAATGGCAAAATCTAGTTGGAAATTGAAAAATCTAGTTGGAAATTGAAAAATCAAGTTAGGCAAAATGTTAGAAAAAAGCAAAAGCTGGTCAGAAATTGCAGAATTCAGTTAAAAATTTCAAAATTTAGTTAAAAATGCCAAAATGCAGTTAAGAATTGCAGAACTCAGTTGGAAATGTTAAAATCTAGTTGGAAAATGAAAAATCAAGTTAGACATGACAAATCCTAACTAGAAAATAGCAAAAGCTGGTCAGAAATTGTAGTATTCAGTTAAAAATTTCAAAATTTAGTTAAAAATGGCAAAATCTAGTCAAGAATGGCAGAATCCAGTTGGAAATGTAAAAAACTAGTTGGAAATTGAAAAACCAAGTTAGACATGGCAAATCCAGCAAAAGCTAGTAAGAAATTGCAGAATTCACTTAAACATTGCAAAATTTAGTTAAAAAAGGCAAACTCTAGTTAGGAATTGCACAATCCAATTTGAATTGACAAAATCCTGTTGGAAATGACAACATCTAGTTAGAAATTGTAAAATCCGGTTGGAAAAATTTAAAATTTATTCAGAAATTGCAAAATCTAACAAGTGCTTTCAAAATCTAGTCATATGTTTTGAAAAATAGTTCAGAAATATGAATTTTTATCAGAAATTGCCAAATCTAGTCATAAATTACCAAACTTAATCACCAAAAAAAAAAGAACTGCCAAGTTTTATACATGGAAAAGTATTGCAACACTTTCTGGTTATCAGTTATCACTTACCATTTCGTACATGACCACACCGACGCCCCACCAATCTACGGCCCTGCCGTAATCATTGTCTTCCAGTACTTCTGGTGCTAAATATTCGGGCGTTCCACAAAACGTCTTTGTCGTCCGCCCATAAGTTATGTCCTCCTTGCAAAGACCGAAATCTGCAATTTTGATATGACCGTCTTTGTCCAGGAGAAGGTTTTCCAGTTTCAGATCTCTATAAATGATACCCTGAAAGAAAAATCATAGAGAGACATCTGATGAGTATCCAAATATGTATTAGGATATTTTTATTTATTTACCTGAGAATGTAGATATCCAAGGGCTGATATAATTTCAGCTCCATAGAACCTCGTCCTCTCTTCGGAGAAGATTCTATCTCTGCTCAGATGAAAGAATAATTCACCACCGTTTACATACTCCATAACAAAACACAATCGATTAGGAGTTTGGAAAGAATATTTCAAAGACTGCAATAGAAATAAAAACATAAAACACAATCTTGGGTGAATTTTTTTTCTACTACTTACAATTAAAAATGGATGTTTTGTCGTCCTCAGCACTCTATTCTCTGTTAAAGTGTGCTCTACTTCATCTTTTTGTATGATGACTTCTTTCTTGAGAATTTTGATAGCATACAAATGTTGTGTTGCTTTTTCTCTGCACAGAATTACCTTTCCAAAGGTGCCTTTGCCTAAAACTTTCAGGAACTCGAAATTCTCCAAAGTCTGAGGAAAAAAGACAATAAGTCAATGATGATATACATGTAGTCAGTGTAGTAATTACTTTTAAGAAGGTTTCTTTTTTTCAGGAAGAACTACATCACTTGTAAATCAAGAGTTAGATTTATGTTTTCAGGCAGCCTACAAAGTTTTCAGATAGTCCAAAATGTGTTTAGATAGATTCATACATAAACATCTTCAGACTGTGCGAAACATTTGTAGACATTGTACAAAGTTTTCAGACAGTCCAAAAAGTCGTCAGACAGTCCAAAAATTAGTCAGACAGTCCAAAAATTAGTCAGACAGTCCAAAAATTAGTCAGACAGTCCAAAAATTAGTCAGACAGTCCAAAAATTAGTCAGACAGTCCAAAAATTAGTCAGACAGTCCAAAAATTAGTCAGACAGTCCAAAAATTAGTCAGACAGTCCAAAAATTAGTCAGACAGTCCAAAAATTAGTCAGACAGTCCAAAAATTAGTCAGACAGTCCAAAAATTAGTCAGACAGTCCAAAAATTAGTCAGACGGTCCAAAAAGTCGCCAGACGGTCCAAAAATTAGTCAGACGGTCCAAAAATTAGTCAGACGGTCCAAAAATTAGTCAGACGGTCCAAAAATTAGTCAGACAGTCCAAAAAGTTGTCAGACAGTCCAAAAAGTTGTCAGACAGTCCAAAAATTAGTCAGACAGTCCAAAAATTAGTCAGACAGTCCAAAAATTAGTCAGACAGTCCAAAAATTAGTCAGACAGTCCAAAAATTAGTCAGACAGTCCAAAAATTAGTCAGACAGTCGTCAGGCAGTCCAAAAAAGTAGTCAGGCAGTCCAAAAAAGTAGTCAGGCAGTCAAAAAAGTAGTCAGGCAGTCAAAAAAGTAGTCAGGCAGTCAAAAAAGTAGTCAGACAGTCAAAAAAGTAGTCAGACAGTCCAAAAAGTAGTCAGACAGTCCAAAAAGTAGTCAGACAGTCCAAAAAGTAGTCAGACAGTCCAAAAATTAGTCAGACAGTCCAAAAAGTCGCCGGACAGTCCAAAAAGTCGCCAGACAGTCCAAAAAGTCGCCAGACAGTCCAAAAAGTCGCCAGACAGTCAAAAAAGTCATCAGACAGTCAAAAAATTAGTCAGGCAGTCAAAAAATTAGTCAGGCAGTCAAAAAAGTCGTCAGACAGTCAAAAAATTAGTCAAGCAGTCCAAAAAGTCGTCAGGCAGTCCAAAAAGTCGTCAGGCAGTCCAAAAAGTCGTCAGGCAGTCCAAAAAGTCGTCAGGCAGTCCAAAAAGTCGTCAGGCAGTCCAAAAAGTCGCCAGACAGTCCAAAAAGTCGCCAGACAGTCCAAAAAGTCGTCGGACGTCCTGGGACTCCGTCAGACGTCCTGGGACTTCGTCGGACGTCCTGGGACTTCGTCGGACGTCCTGGGACTTCGTCGGACGTCCTGGGACTTCGTCGGACGTCCTGGGACTTTCTCAGACGTCCTGGGACATCCTCAGACGTCCTGGGACATCCTCAGACGTCCTGGGACATCCTCAGACGTCCTGGGACATCCTCAGACGTCCTGGGACATCCTCAGACGTCCTGGGACATCCTCAGACGTCCTGGGACTTCCTCAGACGTCCTGGGACTTCCTCAGACGTCCTGGGACTTCCTCAGACGTCCTGGGACTTCCTCAGACGTCCTGGGACTTCCTCAGACGTCCTGGGACTTCCTCAGACGTCCTGGGACTTCCTCAGACGTCCTGGGACTTCCTCAGACGTCCTGGGACTTCCTCAGACGTCCTGGGACTTCCTCAGACGTCCTGGGACTTCCTCAGACGTCCTGGGACTTCCTCAGACGTCCTGGGACTTCCTCAGACGTCCTGGGACTTCCTCAGACGTCCTGGGACTTCCTCAGACGTCCTGGGACTCCGTCGGACGTCCTGGGACTCCGTCGGACGTCCTGGGACTCCGTCGGACGTCCTGGGACTTCGTCAGACGTCCTGGGACTCCGTCAGACGTCCTGGGACTCCGTCAGACGTCCTGGGACTTCCTCAGACGTCCTGGGACTTTGTCGGACGTCCTGGGACTTCGTCAGACAACTTTAAACGCTCTCAGACAACTCGGAACGTTCTCAGACAACTCAGAACGTCTTCAGACAACTTGAATCTTTATCACAAGGTTCTACGTCTGCCATTAATAACGTTTAACTTTGTTGGCGAACGTAAAAAATAAACTTTATGATCTACAATGACACTTACAACTTTCTTCTTTCCACTGAATTTGCCTGTTGATGTACCCTGCAACGAAAATTTGGCCGATAACTCATCTTCAGCAACCTCAGCTGCCATATCGACATCATCATTCAGACTTTGTGAATCCTCAGAATTTGCCAGACGATTTGAAACATAACGAATTGCTTCCATCCATCCTTGGCGTTCCTGAAAAAATAGAGAAGACACAGAAATTAGCACACAAAAATACTGGAAAGTAAAACCTGAATTATTCTGGTATACCATTACCATTGTATAAAAAGTACAAAAATATAAAAACTGAATTGACAATTGATGTCAATTTCAAACAATGTCAGGTTTTTTTTATAAATATTTGTACTATTTCAAGATTATCTTACTATGACCATTGCGTACTCCAAGCAGATATAAAATTCTGGCATAAACAATATACTAAATCTCCTGATAAGTAAATTTTTACTAATTAACGTGCCCATATTTGCAATATCTAGAATACTATGAACACTATCTTATTTTTATTGTCGAATGACAAGATAATAATAAATATATAATGATGCTTACAAATTCAGGATGCATTTTATTGAATAATACTAATTTTGCCAAAAATATTCAACTTGCTACCTAATTTTAGGAGTGTTTAAGTCATTCTGAATCGTTTGACACCAAAATTGCAAAAATAGGACGCTCTTGAAAAAGTAAGCAGGGCTCTTAAGAAAGCAAGCAGGGCTCTTATGAAAGTAAGCAGGGCTCTTAAAGAGGTAGACAGGACTCTTACAAGTAGGCAGGACTCTTAAGAAAGTAAGCAGGGCTCTTGAAAAGTAAGCAGGGCTCTTGAAAAGTAAGCAGGGCTCTTGAAAAGTAAGCAGGGCTCTTAAAAAGTAAGCAGAGGACTCTTAAAAAGTAAGCAGAGGACTCTTGAAAAGTAAGCAGAGGACTCTTGAAAAGTAAGCAGGACTCTTGAAAAGTAAGCAGGACTCTTGAAAAGTAAGCAGAGGACTCTTGAAAAGTAAGCAGAGGACTCTTGAAAAGTAAGCAGAGGACTCTTGAAAAGTAAGCAGAGGACTCTTGAAAAGTAAGCAGGACTCTTGAAAAGTAAGCAGGACTCTTGAAAAGTAAGCAGGACTCTTGAAAAGTAAGCAGGACTCTTGAAAAGTAAGCAGGACTCTTGAAAAGTAAGCAGGACTCTTGAAAAGTAAGCAGGACTCTTGAAAAGTAAGCAGGACTCTTGAAAAGTAAGCAGGACTCTTGAAAAATGTAAGCAGCGGACTCTTGAAAAATGTAAGCAGCGGACTCTTGAAAAATGTAAGCAGCGGACTCTTGAAAAATGTAAGCAGCGGACTCTTGAAAAATGTAAGCAGCGGACTCTTGAAAAATGGTAGGCGGAGGACTTAAAAAATGGTAGGCGGAGGACTCTTAAAAAATGTAAGCAGAGGACTCTTAAAAAATGTAAGCAGAGGACTCTTGAAAAAATAAGCAGAGGACTCTTGAAAAACTAAAACCTGGAGGACTCATGAAAAAAATCTGTAGGGGCTAAAAGAAAAAAAACTGTAGGACTACTCTTGAGAAAAAAAAACCTGTAGGACTCTTAAAAAAAAACTGTAAAATGAGCCGTAAAAAGCCTTTTAAAAAAACTGTATTACTTAAAAATTGTGCAAGACTCTTAAAAATTATTAGTCCTAAAAATTGTGTTAGACTGAAAAACTATGTGAAAATCTTACAAAAAAATATGTACAACTCTTAAAAAGAATCTGCAGGACCCTTAAAAATTATTTACAGCCCTCAAAAAATTGTTTAAGGCTCGTAAAAAATGCGCAAAGACCTCAAAAAATTGTGTAAGGTTCGTAAAAAATGTGCAAAAACCCTCAAAAAATATGTAAAACTTATAAAAAATGTGCAAAGCCATCAAAAAATCCTAAAAAGTTTGCAAAGCGCTCAAAAAATGAGTAAAGCCCTCAAAAAGTCTGAAGCTTAAAAAATAATGAAAGCTCTCAAAAAATTGGGTAAGGGTCGTAAAAAATGTGCAAATCCCTCAAAAAATATGTAAAGCTCCTAAAAAATGTGCAAAGCTATATAAAAATCATTAAAGCTCCTAAAAAGTTTGCAAAGCGCTCAAAATGTCTATGAAGCCCTCAAAACAGTCTGAAGCTTAAAAAATAATTAAAGCTCTCAAAAAATTGGGTAAGAAAAAAAAACCTGGAGGACTCTGGGAATAAAAACCTGGAGGACCCTTGAAAAAAAATCCTCGACTACTCTTGAAAAAAAATTCTATTGGACTCTAAAAGAAAAAACTGTCTGTAGGACTCTTAAAAAAACTGTAAAATGAACCGTAAAAAGCCTTTAAAAGGAACTGTAAGACTTAAAAATTGTGCAAGACTCTTAAAAATTGTACAAGTCCTAAAAATTGTGTTAGACTGAAAATTATGTAAAAATCTTACAAAGAAATATGTAAAAATCTTACAAAAAAATATGCAGGACCCTTAAAAAATATTTACAGCCCTCAAAAAACTGTTTAAGGCTCGTAAAAATGTGCAAAGACCTCAAACAATTGTGTAAGGGTCGTAAAAAGTTTGCTCAAAAAGTCTATAAAGCCCTAACAAAGTCTGAAGCTTGTAAAATAATTAAAGCTCTTGGAGCAAACTTGCTTCAAGTTAGATTATAGCGTGCCATGACATTAATAATATAGAAACAAAAGTATGTATAGAAAATAATATTCTAAATCAATGTCTAATAAATCATTGTAAATTAGTCAATTATTGAGTTTTAATTAAATATACTTTAGTATTTATGGAATGCGCTCCAGCTCTCAAAAAATTTGGTAAGGCTCGTAAAAAATGTGCAAAGCCGTCAAAAAATCTGTAAAGCTCCTAAAAAGTTTGCAAAGCCCTCAAAAAATCTATAAAGCTCCTAAAAAGTTTGCAAAGCCCTCAAAAAGTCTGTAAAACCCTTACGTGTTCTGATTTTAGTATCAAACGACTCAGAATGACTCGAAAAGTTGCCCTATAAACATCTCTTTCAGGAATTCAAGTCAACTATCTTTATCTACTCACCACATCGCTCTCCACATGGAATGTCCTCTCAATGACCTGCGTCCACTGCAGGCCCCTTATCACGAATGTGTAGGGCTTCGGTCTGTCCTGGGACATGATCTGACACCCCTTGACCGTGAATTTATTAAGGGGCTCACCCAGACAATTCGAGACAGGCCTGTTTTTGAATCCGACCAGGTTTCCATCGTCAAACAGAATGAAGTATCTCGATCTCCAGTTCCTGATGTGTTCGCCTCTTTTGTAGAGGAATCCCTCTTTGACGATGTTGGCAGGGGTGCTGAAGGCGTTGTCGGCGGCCAGAGCTATCTCTGCCATTTTGGTGTTGGCGACTCACTGAAACGGTCTGAAAAAAGAAAATTATATATATATATACTTTGTCCTTTCGTAGAACTACTAATTTAAATTAAAGCATTTATTTCTTATCAAATATGTTTGAATTGTAGTAGGATTGACGGATTGCATTCAAAATTTATTTTCCATATTCTTAATCAAATAAACATACTTGTTTACATCTTGCTTAAACTCGATAACATCCTAGAATAAAACTCATTAAGATTTTCTTATAAAATATATACAGATAAAGGATAAATAAGTATCATATAAATGCACATTAAAGATAAAATGAGTTCTTCTACACTTATGTATTTATTCAGCAAGTTTTAGGCATTTCATGTAAATCTGCCTTTTTGTGGGGCACCTAATTCAATATCGAATGCACACGAGATTCTGATTTGAACGTTGCAATTTACATTTTTGAAGTAAAACTTCTTTAGGCGCGACATGGGCTAGCAGTATAATTCGTGAGTTAATAAAAATGTCAGGATCGGAAGAATATTTTATCCCGTCCCCTATAAATAATTGTAGTGCAAATGATCGCAAATAAATAATGAAACGACGTGATCGACTTTGGCTTCAAAGTGGCTTAGAAATATCAAATGATGCTCAAAAACAAATTCTTAATAATGTTTTTTGAATCAGGTTGGATGTCAAACTTGTCGAAAGGCATTAAATTCGGGTAAAATTCCCACTTTGTGCAAATTTAACTACTTTGTATTTCCACCTATACCAAATTATCTACCTAAACTAGATACTGTATCTGAAAGGTTAATTTCAACTAGGTTGTGTTCCATGCAAATTAGACGATTGCGACATGCAAATGGACAATTTGAAATATTTGGACAAATTATAAATGTGCCTGTTGACGTTAATAATATGGTCAATTTATTACCTCGTAATATTGATGATGATCATTGCATTAACGTTCACATAAAAAAGCAAATGATTCATAGATCAAGCTATGTGTAGGGCTTGATAAATAAAACAAATATAAAAGTATGGCTTCAATTTGTTAGGCAAGACGGATATTACAGGTGTTCAAGGAATGAGATTATATAGTCAGCGAAAAAGTAAAAAAGAATACAAACAGTAAATGAATGTATGTTAATTTTAATTACATGAAGTTCTTCAAACACAATTGTTACAGGATGAGTTAATTTGCAAAAACAATATTTGTTTAGGCGTTGTTTAACATAATCCACTGTGTGAATGAATATTATAGAATTTATTAATCAGCAATTACTTTAAAACGATCATGTCATATTTCAAGTACGACTTTGATTACATTATTGTTTGTAAATATTATACATATTTTTAATGCAATCATAAATATATAATTTATAACTTATCATTATATAAATGTGTATAATGATTGAAGACACTAATAAATGTGTGCATCACGAGTGTTACCATATTACTAAAAAACATTATTCAAAATTTTTATATGATGTATTTATTCTTACTCAACTTAAATTTGCTACTTTATACAGTAGCAAATAAGTTTTACTTCAATCGCGTGTGATCCTTACGCGCACTCTTTTTTTTTATTATCTTTTTTATTTACAACTGTCCAGTAAAGGACATTCAATAAATTTGATGAATTTACAATAGTCGGGGACATTGTAAACTACATTGGCATGTTGGAAAAAACAACTCAGTAGCTGTATTTCCATTCGATATAAAATTCACAATATTTTATTGATGGCAATGTCCATGTAAATATTTATACTTTTGCTGCATGTTAATATGTTATAGCATGTTATTAGCATATTATATTTTTTTTATTGAAAAGCAGTGTTTTACTATATATATTTATGTTAAGATCCTATGTTCAGTTCGAGTGTATTCTCAACAATAAAAGATTTGTTTACAAAGGCTATTTTTTATATATTTATAACGTATTTTTGGAGAATTTATTAAAGGTAAAAATGCAATCCACATCTGCTCCTAAAGGTAAACGTGAAAGAGGAAAGAAATCTAAATCTCAGACAAAAGATGCTACTCAAAAGACTAAATTATCGAGAAATGAGATAGGAGCTAATTGGAAAGCTTTTCTTTCAACGTAAAGCTTAACTAAAGATTCACACAAAGATAATTCCGAAAAAACAGAAAGAGTTCTGAAGATCTAGAAAACTAGAAAGACTCGTACAAATGAATCAAACAGCAAATACAACAGATACCAGTGAAAATTCAACATCTACAAGCCAAGGATTAACATCAGACAAAAAACAAGATAAAAGAAATCAACCTTTGATCATGATGATTGCATTTATGATAAATTTGTTGCACCTCGTGAAGAAGTAGTTGATTATAGAACAAGTGTGAGTGGTGTTTATAGACCAAGTGACTTGAAGAATGCTTCAAAATTTGATACTTTAGCAAAAGAAGTTGCTTCAATATTACAGGGAAAAATTCTTGTCGGTCACGCCTTGCACCATGATCTTGACGCTTTACTAATAAACCATCCAAGAAAACGAGTTAGAGATGCATCAAAATATAAGCCATTCAGAAGTTTGGCTGGCGGAAGGAGCCCAGGTTTGAGAAAATTGGCTAAATTTAGGTGTTGACATTCAAAAAGGTGAACACAGTTCTATAAAAGATGCTGAAGCTGCAATGCAAATTTATATATCTCATAGTAGAGCAAATAAAGAGAAAACCTGCAAAGATTCAAACTTAGTTTTATGATTAATCTAAAAATTAATTTAAAATATTTATATATGTAAAATAACTTATTACAATATTATACAACACTATTGTCCTTAATAATTCAATAATAATAGCCTGAATGTTAAAAAATGTACATCAAAGTACATATTGCACAATGTACACATAACCAAACAATTTTTTTGTAAATCAAACTGTGTAAGAACTTTGTAACAAGAATAATTTAGTCTTGAACATAAATGTTGTAAAAACGACAAGACTGAAGAAGTCTTCAATATGAAGAAGAAAGTACAGGGCTTATTCGTAAAGTTTGTGTCAGAATTAACTTGTATTACTATAAGTAACACAAGCAAATGCATTTTAACCTAACCTGACATTAATTGTAACCAAAAACCTGCAAAATAAAACTTTTACCATTTTGGGGGTTAAACATCCCACGTACCCAAACAAAAACACTCCACATCCAAACAAAAACTAAAAACTCCCTTACAATTATCAATAACCATTACTTTATCAAACTGCGCACTAAATCCCTCATAAATATTATTATTTACTCCATTACGTGAATCTTTTTACCTTGAATTCAAAATAGTAATCACCAAAAAATCTTGTCCATTCTGCCGCATGCGGGGGGCACTGATCGACACATTAATAGAACTAGGATGTAATAGAAATATTTTGTGGTTGTTTTAGTTTGTTTAGTAATGGATTTTTGCACTTTTAAATCACTTTTTTGTTGAATTTTGTGATTTTTATTCTGTTCTGACGCACATACCACACACACGCCACAGGGACAGAGCGAGGCGATAGGAGGATAGGAGAGAAAAATATGGCGATTGCAGCGCTTTGTGGTGGATTGGTAAAACATTATTTGGTTGACAGTTTCGACTTTATTTATATAAATATTTATTTATTTTGTTAAAATGCTTATTAAATTTGCAATATTATAATTAATTCAATATTATTTATATATTTATTAAATTAAATCTGCCTGCAGACTATTTGTTTGACATTTATTAAATGACACCTCTTTTGACACATGTTTGACAGTTGTGACAGTTGTTGGCAATGTTTATTTACATGTTTATTTCATTATTTTACGTAATTATTTATTATTTCTCGTGTTTTACTTTATTTATATTATCATTTAATACTTCATTATTATTTATATATCTATTAAATTAAATCTGACTGCGGACCATTCGTTTGACATTTATTAACTGACACCTAGTGTGACAGTTGTGACAGTTGCTGACAATGTTTACTTACATGTTTATTTAATTTTTGTAGGTAATTATTTATTATTTCACGTATTTTCATATATTTATATTATCATTTAATAATTCATTATTATTTATATATTTATAAATCTGCTTGCAGACCATTCGTTTGACATTTATTAACTGACACTTTGTTTGACAGTTGTAACATTTTATTTATACATTATTTTTATTTGAATGTTTATTCCATTTTAAATATAACTTAATAATTCATTATTATTTATATAGATAGTTAATTAAATCTTATTGCAGATCTTTTGTTCGAAATTAAAATTTAATTTTTGACACCTCGTTTAACAGTTGTAACAGTTGCTGAAGAATTATTTAATTTTTGTAGGTAATTATTTATTATTTCACGTATTTTACTATATTTATATTATCATTTAATACTTCATTATTATTTATATATTTATTAAATTAAATCTGCCTGCAGACCAAGCGACATGTGTATTGCTTCATTTTTTTTTGACTATTTCATTAGTATAATATTTATTATAATTAAAATATCTTTATATATAACTCTTTAGTCTTTTTTGTCTTCAATTTCCTTATAGTATTTCTTTATTTTTCTTTTAAATTGTTCGCGGTTTTTTGCACGCCATTTTGACAACTGTCAAAGTCATTGATTATACAAATGCGGAATTGTGTCATTGAATAGTTAAACTGGGAACGGACATTGACTTAATATATTTATTTCATTTAAATAATTAATAATTTGTTATTATTTATAGTATATACTAGCTGACCCGGCAAACTTTGTTCCGCTTTAACAAAATATAAATTAACAACAATTAATATATAACTATTTACATTTTTATTACAAATTTTGTGGTAATTTTAGGAAACTATATTGCAAAATGCTTTTTTTATTAATTTGTTAATGAATATACTTATTGCTGATAAAAACACGTCAAATACGTATACGTATAAACAAATAACATAAATACCTAAGTATATAAATAAGTACATTCCCATGTTCAAGAAATAAATTTCTCCATCGTCCATGTGGCATTGCTTGCTATTATTAAGAATTAATTAATTTGCCAGTTCGTAATAATTAAATAAAAAAATTATATTAATATATTTGTAACAAAACAAAACAAAAACACTGGTTAACAGTTAATTGAAAGTAAATGCCATGGATAAAATATGAATCATAGATTGAATAAACTGAATGGATAGTTTATAATTAATTAATTTTAAATTTGAATGAAATATAAAATAGATAAATAGGATAAAAATAATCCTATATCTTTCTCGTGGCTCTTAAATACCTCCTTGCGAATTTTCAGCTAAATCGGTTCAGCCGTTCTTAAATTATAAGTGTTGTAACTAACACGATGCTCTTTTATATATATATATATATAATAATTAGATATATAATGAGCCAAACAGATCAAAATATCAAAGGACTTTTGCTCCGTATCTCCAAAACGCGTAGACCTACCACTCCCAAAAACTTATCATTGACATATAAAGTTAAATAAATATGTCTTATAATTTTTGAATAAAGTTTTATTGGTAAATAACATTACAATGGCCACAGAAATGAGATGTACAGATATGATAATTAACATCAGGCGTTTTTTTTTATTCATTATTTATATTATTATTAATATTCATAATATTAATTAATCAAACAAATCAAATCTTACGTAGAAAGGTTATATATTTATGTTCATTTCGTCGTCTTCGTACATGTACCAATTAATAATTAATTAATTAATTATCATTTTTTTTTATTTTATTAATTAGCCACCAAAACATTTACCTATATAAAACATATCTGTTTGCGAAATGAACTTTTTCAGGTGGAGACAACTCCACCGGGCGGTTTTTTTAAAACTACAGCTTTTTTCTTTCCTGCACATCTAAGTGTAATTTTATTTTATTTTTTTTAATTATTATCAATTACACACATGACACTAACTATTTATAAGATTTTTTCGTTATTATCAATAATTATCATTATTAACTATATGGAACCTAAAAAACAAACGTTTCTTTTTATATATATATATATGTCATTTGTCAGAGATTTTTGAAGAAAATATTATTATTGCAATTAAACTGTACATTCAAGTATCAAGCTTCGATATTTTAAATTTTTTTCACTTATGCGATAGGTTTTTTTTAATTATAATAATTTACGATTATAATTATTATTTATATATTTATAGGTGATTAAATCTTAATGGTAATGTGTGAAATTATGCAAACTTTTTCGAAATTTTGAATTGGCTAATAAAACTTGTTTAGTAAGTCTTCCATACGTTTCGAATCCCAATTTGATCCATCACCCGTGTAATAAAGATGACTCAAATGAAATTCGAAACGTATTCAGGACTAGTTAATTGATAAAAAAAAATTCTATCTAATGAGAGAACTTTCTTGTAAACTATTATTTACTTTGCAAACTGATTTTCAAAAATTCATTAATCCGGCTCTGTTCAAGCTAGAGCTTTGAAATTCATGTCAATTTCAAGCTAAAACTATATATTTTTATGCAAAAATAAATTTTGTTACCAAATTTTAATTGTTATTAATATAAAAAAAAATGTTGAGATGATAACATTAGCGAGTACATGTTGTCGATGCAAGTACCTTATTTTCAGTTGTTAATAACAATAAGAATTTGTTAAATAAACACTATTGAAATTATTTTTGTATGAAACTATATTATTTTAGCTTTTAAATAAACCAAAAATAAAGTCTGTAATTTAAACAGAACCGGAGTTATAAATTTTGGAAAATAAATAGTCAAGGTAAAAATTACCCAAAGTTAAGAATGCCCTCAAAAAAAAAAAAAAAAAAATTAAAAAAATTCGTTGCAGCCAATTCAAATTCAAAATTTTTAATAAAGTTTGCATTTTTAACTCGAAAAAGTGTCAAGAAATACAAAAGTATATTTATTCTGTTATTTAGATAAGTGTTCGCTGTGTTTTTTTATAAAAAATAAATTTTGGAAAATAAAATTCATAGATTAAAAAAATTGTCAAAAATAATAAAAAGATAAAATAACAGATTTGATAATAATAATAGATGTAAATCAATTTTAAATTTAAATAGTTAATGAAATTTCTTTATTTATTACAAAAAAAAAACAATTTCTGTTGCACTGAAGTTGGTAAAAAAGTGCAATCGAAACGTGTGTGAAAATAAAAATAAAAATCGAAAAATTACAAAACAACTGAAGATGCGAAAAAAGTCCAACCAAAACGTGTGTCAACCAAAGAAATAAAAGTTTTTCCAATTTTCTTTTACAAATACCGTGTAGCTCTATTCCATATGACAAATAAATAAAATATGAATAATTCCATTATTATTATAATTATTATTATTATTACATACATGATATTTTTCAATGATGATTTCTTCAAAATTTTCTTAAATTAATTATTAATTAATTAATATCAGCAGAAGCGTGCTAATTAATTAATGAATGAATTGTCGATTTAATTTAATTAATGATATTTAATTCGCTACAAATTAATACTGGATTGATTTGAACTCGAAGTTATTATAATAATGTATGTATTTATGTGTATCACTACATGGGAGGAGTGGAAATAACAGAAAGTTTGAGAACCACACGTTGTGGTAATTTAAAATTAGTCCAGCTCTGTACTAGATAAATTTTCCCAAAAACAAAAACTGTATATCTCAATTCCAAAAAAAGTTATAATTACGAAACTAAAAAATGCACGTATGAAAAAACGAACTTTCATTTTATTATTGTAATTTGCACTTGACTGTACTTCCATCCAATTTTTTTTGATACGCCACTTTTTCCGCAATTTTGTCTAGATTCAACTTGTCGAAAACCAAAACTTTCTATTTCAATTCCAAAAAAAGTTATATCAAAAAAACTAAAAAAATGCTTGGTTATAAAGCATCGAAGATCTCACACAAGACCTTTATAGATCTCGTATAATAAATCTGATTATCTTGGCTGATCTTTTATTAATTGATCTTGAATTAATTTTAAAAATATCATCAAAGATCTAAATTGATTTTAAACATCTGTTTATAACAAAATAGATCATCAAAGATCTATACAGATCAAAGTAGAGTATGAATAGATCATCAAGGATCTAAGCAGATCAAAATAGTTCTTGATAGAACTGATTTTCTTCGTTATAGATCATCGGCGGTCAAAATAAATCTCGATTAAGATAAATTAATCTTCTTCGTGATCTAAATAGATCAAAATAGATAATCAAAGATCTATACAATTTAAAGTAGATTATGAATACATCATCAAGGATCTAAGCAGATTAAAATAGATCTTGATAGAACTGATTTTCTTCGTTATAGATCATCGAGGGTCAAAATAGATCTCGATTAATCTAAATTGATCTTCTTCGTAATCTAAACACATCAAAATAGATCATGAAAGATCTATACAATTCAAAGTAGATTAGAAATAGATTCTCGAGTATTTGAGCAGATCAAAATAGATCTTGATAAAACTGATCTTTGTTATTTAAAGTTATCTATATTTTAGCT